GTCGCTGCGCCAGGTGGGATTTACAAATGATATTAATTATATATAACATATCTTAAGATAATATTTGTTGTTGCCATTGCAGTGCAGCAAGTCGGCAATTCTGTGGCTGGCCCTCATCTCGCTGCTGAGTCATGCGGCGAGCAGTCTGATGAAAGCGTTCGCCTTCGTCGACTGGCAAATCTATCTGGCCATTGGCTTGGGCATATTCAAATCTCTGGTGAATCCCATGTGCCGCACCATGATAACTAACCTGTTGCCAGGCGAGGAGCGCGGTGCGTAAATCTATTAAAATTAATCTTTGAGGTACATTTGTGGCTCATCACTCGATCGATTGAAATGTATCTGTTAGCTACATTTGTATCTTTCGTTCGTTTAAAATGTATCTTTTCTTTTCTTCTCTTAAGATCTATCTTTCAGATACATTTGTATCTTTTCTTTGATTCATTTGAAATGTATCTTCGCGCTACATTTGTATCTTTTCTTTCGTTCAGTTATCTTTTCAGTATCTCTTCTTAGATTTGCTTAACTGTATCTTTGAGCTACATTTGTATCTTCTCTTTCGTTCCTCTAAAATGTATCTTTTCTTTCGTTCGTTCGAAATGTATCTTTGAGCTATATTTGTATCATTCTTTTCGTTCGTTTGAAAAGTATCTTTAAGCTACATTTGTATCTTTTCTTTCTCTATTTAGGCAAAGTCTTTGCGATGCTCAGCGTACTGCAAACGCTCTCCCCGTTCGCCTCATCCACACTGTATATAATATTTTACACGCTCACATTGAGCAGTGCGCCGGGCTTGTTTCAATCTGATCAGCGCCAATTTATTTGGACTCGCGATTATTTTGCTGCTGTGCGTGTCCAATTTGTTAAAGATTTATGCAAATATTACTATGCTAAATAATCGTTCTTGTTTATTACTTTCAGCGTTGTCTGGCGCAAGAAAGCCACGCATCCCGCACACTACGAACCCATTTTCAAGTGATATCTCAGCCATAAAACTGATATTAAGCAAAAAGAAAAGAAAGAGCTTAATTCGCCAGTCATTCGGCAAATTCGCACATCAATTATACAAATTGGCTAATATGCCAAATACAAATATCTATTTACGTATTTGCACATTATAAACAAAACAAAAAAAATAAGCACCAACCAATGTGTGAAGTCTAGCTGTGCACTTCAAGGGGGGTTTTATTGATCAGCTTGGTACCATAAAAAAGCGAACACACCGGCAAATAACGTGTGTAATTGCGCTTGCCATTTGCCATATTTTACAATAATTTAAAAAAATTCGAAATATAACTAAACAATTTTCGATTCGACCTCAGCTATGGGTTAATATAACAGCACGCTTCGACGGGCTGCTCCTCTGTTAATTTCCAGGCAACGGCGTGTGCGCAGTCACTTGACAAACTCTTACAATACACATACATATATATGTATATATATATGGATGGATGGGCATGAAAACAAATAAATATAATATAATAAACACAAATAAATAAACTTCCCAGCAGAATGAGTGGTGTTAACTTCATGTTAAATTGAGCGCTAATTTCATTTGCTAATTTTAAATTAGATGTCACATTTTTTTTTATTTTTGCACCCTTGATTTAAAAGAATAATGCGAGCATGTTCGGTTCGACATTTGATTAATTATCTAGATGCTACCCATAGCACGGGCTGTTTCAGCTAAGAGTGGACATTTATTTATATAATATGTATGTATATATTGTTAAAAGCAGTTGTTTTTAATCTAACCAGTCAGCATTAGTCGTTGTTAAATGCCATTTGTTAAGAGTTTTGTTTTCGATGGAACCCTCCTGCGGGCCTTGGCTTTGGCGCGTGCGAACTGCACGAACTGGCAGTAAGAAAACGAAACAAACAAACTGAGGATTAGAAAAGTTTCTGGGCCTAGACAAGCCACAGGTGCTGCAGGTGATAAGGCGGGACGGCGGGGAGTCTCAGCTCAGTCACCGAAAAAAAATCAAAAAAAAAAAAAAAAACTTATTTAAGCCGTCAACGCAGTGAAATCGAATTTAAACGAATCGGAAACGTTGCCGTCGCCGTATCAAGCTGCTGTTCGGGGTCCAACAACAGACCCAACTATAACTCAATAGTCGGGAACGGAATTTTTCTGACCAACAACAGACATCGGCTTACACGCGATATACAAATATATATACACATATATATATATATATATATATATACGTGTGCATATATCGAAAATCTACAACTAGAACATTGGATTTTTGATGAACAAGTGTTGTGGAATATTTCTGTGCGGCTTTAGTTTTAGTTCTATTTGACGTGGGTTTCCTTCCGTTTTTTGTTTTTTGTTTTTTGTTTTACCTTTGTGGCCGCATATATAAACGCTCGGACTTAACGTTAGAGGCTCATTCGAGAATCCAACTCCAATTGTAAATAATTGTCGCAGTCGAAAAAGGCGCCGGGCTTCATATTAAACGGCCAAGCATCCAGCCCGATATGACAGTTAATGCTTGCATATAAGTGTATAAATGTATATAAGTGCATATATAGCGTATACGTAATTTGAATTAGGCTGTGACGTGCTCATTGTGATAAGTGCTTTTTTGTGTGCGCCTCTTGCCATTGTTTAAAGTTTTGCCAGCAACTAATTAATAAACATATAATGTAACTACGCGAATTGGCTGAGGTCTTGAATCCGTTGAACTTGCAAACAATATAAAACCAGTATTTGATTCGCGACTTGCGATTAACAATTAGAATCTTAAAGCTGCTCAAATGGTCGAAAAGTCGCGCACATCTTGACACTGAAGCGTCTTCGCAGTTCCAATGGCATCGCATCTTTCATATGTTCTACATCGAAACCGGTCGTCTTTATGCTCTTATTTTCGCTCACATTGTCCAGTAAGTGCCTCGAATTAGCATTATCTGTATGCATTTGCTATTCCGCAGTGTTTTTCCCCAGATACCATCCTGAGGAACCAGATCATCTACCAGACCTGCACGGTGATCTTTCGCTACAATGTCAGCGACTGCAAATTGCTGGATGATAAAAAATGCCAGCGCCGAGATAAAGGTTCGCACATCCAAATGCTCTAATCTATAAGACGCGTTTAACAATTCATCTAATTACTAGCCAAAAAGTAGTTAAAAATGTAAACAGAGTTAGCCCACATGTGTTTAGCAGGTTCATTTAGCTATTTTTAGCCACAAATTGTAACTGCAAGTTAATTGGGCTTGCATTCAGCTATATTTAGTATTCAGCAAGTTTATTCAGCTACTTAAAGCTAGATTTAATATTGAATGCAGCTACAGTTCTGCTCAGCTAGCAAATTCAGCTATTTTTAGCAAGCTTATTAGCTACGTTTAGCTTGTTTTAAGAAGCATTCAGCTATAATCTGTGCTCAGCAGCTAATTCAGCTATTTTTTGGCAACACTGTCTTTAGGTATATTAGGTACTATATCGTATTATTTTACAGGCAATTGAAACGGAACTGCAGCCATATGTGGCAAATCTATTTCTATCGCGCACGCTGCTGGAGAGCATTGTTCCCGCTTTTTGTGGCCTCTTTATTGGTTCCTGGTCAGATCATTATGGACGCAAGCCGCTGCTCACAGTATCGATGATAGGTACATACCCAACTATATACGTATATACTATGTGTGTGCAGTGTAATTGAATAGTCTGTTTAGGTTTTGCCCTCTCGTTTCTGGTCACTTCTGCCATTTGCGAGCTGTCCAGCTATTACGTGATCAATCCCTGGTGGTATATTGCGGCCGCGGTGCCGCATTCTCTGCTCGGCGGCAATTGTGTATTCTCCGTGGCGGCTTATGCTTCATCTCGGACATCACGGATACCAAGACGCGGCCTTATCGGTAGGTTACAAGTCAGAGAGCTCTGCAAAGAGTTAGCCATAACGCGACACGAACAATTAGCTCGAGCCGTTCGACTCGATCGAACTGTTCAAGCTCGAACATGTTGCAAATGAATTAACCGCTGCAGAGCTCTTTTAAAGGCCCTAGCCTTTGTCCAAGCTAATCCAAAGTCTTTTATCCCAGCATGATCTTCATGGAGTCGCTGTTCTTCATTGGGCTCACAAGCGGCTCGCTGTTGTCCAGTTTCGTTTATGCGGCAACCAATGCGGCCACGACCATTGGCATCTCGGGTTGCATAACCACATTGGGCACATTCTTTGTCATATTCTTTGTGCCGGAGAGCCTGCACATACGGCATGCGCAGGAGGCCGAAGAGGGCTGCCGCAACGCGGCCAGCGGCGAGAAGGAGATGCCCATTACGGCGTCTGATCTGCAGCCGGAATGCATGTCCATCGACTGTCCGCCCATCTTGATGAATCCCGATTTCGAAGCGGAACAGAAGAAACATATACATCAGCTGCCCACACCGGCTACGCCCAACATGACATTCGATGAGGATCTGTTGGCGAAATATGTGGAACAGCTGCCGCCAAGGTGAAGGCCAGAGCACAAGCCCAGTCCAAGCAGCAGCCGGATGCCAAAAGGGCTGGCCTCTTCAGCTTTTCACACATCCGAGAGATGGTTAACACCTGCCCAAGCCGCGCGAGAATCATGCGCGCGCAATTATTTGGCTAGTCACATTGGCCATGTGCCTGTCCATCTTTGTCTTTGGTAAGTTGGAACAGGACTCTTTTGAAAATAGCTAACCAACTGTTGTATATACAGAGAGGAAGTAGAAAGCTTACATTAAATTCCAATTCCAACGAAGCACAGCAATTGAAAGCTAGCTACAGGGTAGCGACTAGTCGGATACAGTAAATAACCTTCTGCTCCTTTTTTTGGCCCCTTTCGGGCTTTATTTGGCCGAAATATGACCATTTATAGTTTTCGGGGTAGTTATGGTCGTTTAGAAGCGACATAGCTCCGCGATCTAATTAATCATGGAGATATGACGTTTCAAAGCGACATAACTCCGCCGTCGATCTTGGCGGATTCTACGGACCTCCCCGAGTAGCCCCTCTCTTTTTGGCCCCTATCGGGCTTTATTTGGCCGAGATATAGCCATTTAAAGTTTTCGGGGTAGTTATGTCGTTTTGAAGCGACATAACTCCGCCGATCTAAAAAAAATCATGGAGATATGACGTTTCAAAGCGACATAACTTCGCCGTCGATCTTGGCGGATTCTACGGACCTCCCCGACTAGCCCCTCCCTTTTTGGCCCCTATCAGGCTTTATTTGGCCGAGATATGACCATTTAAAGTTTTGGGGTAGTTATGTCGTTTTGAAGCGACATAACTCCGCCGATCTAATTAATCATGGAGGTATGACGTTTCAAAGCGACATAACTTCGCCGTCGATCTTGGCGGATTCTACGGACCTCGCCGAGTAGCTCCTCCCTTTTTGGCCCCTATCGGGCTTTATTTGGCCGAGATATAGTTATTAAAGTTTTTCGGGGTAGTTATGTCGTTTTGAAGCGACATAACTCCGCCGATCTAAATTAATCATGGAGGTATGACGTTTCAAAGCGACATAACTTCGCCGTCGATCTTGGCGGATTCTACGGACCTCCCCGACTAGCCCCTCCCTTTTTGGCCCCTATCAGGCTTTATTTGGCCTAGATATGACCATTTAAAGTTTTCGGGGTAGTTATGGTCGTTTTGACATAACTCCGCCGATCTCTATACAGAGAGGAAGTAGAAAGCTTACATTGAATTCCAATTCCAACGAAGCACAGCAATTGAAAGCTGGCTAAAGGGTAGCGACTAGTCGGATACAGTAAATAACCTTCTTCTCTTTTCAGACGGCGTCATGACGGTTATGTATTTGTTTGTGCGCGAAAAGTTCCATTGGTCCGTGCGAGATTACACATTCTACGAGACGGTTAGCCACCTGGTGCCCATGGTGGGTGCACTGATCGGATTTCTGATACTGCGCAAGGTGGGCATTACAATATAGAGTATATGCGGGATGATCTTAGGGGTTAAGTATATTCGCAGATTTTTCGCCTGTCGGTGGTCACACTGGCGATGCTCGCGTTCGCCTCGGAAATACTCAAGAATATGGCCAGGGGCTTTTCGACGCAGCCCTGGCACATGTATCTGTCCGTCGTCTTGGGCGTCTTTCGGTCCATTGGCGGGCCCATGTGCCGCACCATTGTCTCAAATATAGTACCTGCCTCAGATTTGGGTGAGTATTCGATTAATTTGTACGATTTGACGATTTCTAGTTATTTATTGCCTGGCTTTCGTTTTGGTTTGCAGGAAAAATTTTCTCAATTAAAAATGTTTTGCAATCGTTTGCACCTTTCGGTAAGGCCTACAGGTCCAGCTCTTAATTATTGTTAATTAATTTCGATTTCGTGCTTCCAGTGGCCGCACCGCTCTACACGTTCATCTACAAGTGCTCGCTGGGTTATTATCCGGGTCTCTTCAACTTTGTGAGCGCGGGCCTGTATCTCATGTCGTTCATATTTATCGGGTAAGTTGCGCCGATTCTGGGCCGATTTGTGTACGCTTTAATGCTAATTGTTGAAACATTTCTGCAGCTGTGTGCTACGCATTAAGTTTATGCATCAAGAGTACTACGCCAAGGTGCTAAAATAAGACAAACAACCGTTCCGATCTGATCCGCTTATGTAGTACGTCCCATTAGCCTAATATTTATGACTAATTGTATTTAATCGTGTGTGATGTGGTTGCCCAAAGCGCCGTTTCTCTAATAAGAAATAAACTTAACGAGTAGTTTGAAATTTAAAAAACAAATAAACAATGCAAACAGATCCCATTAGTTATGCGGCAAAACTCCGTTCTGATGGTTAATGTGCACATTTACAATATTTATATCGACAGTTCATTTGAATTGTGTGTGTTTAACTGCCAGGGCTGCACATAAACATTATTTAAATCGACAGCTCATTTGAATTGTGTGTGTTTAACTGACAGGGTTGCAAGCTAAACAAAAATTTGTATAAGATTTTGAACTAGCTGTTCGCCCCTTGTGAGCCAGGCTTTGGTTTTATGAAATAATTCAATTTTAAATTGATTGCCCGTTCTACTGAAAATATTGCAAATCATTTAATATTTTCATATAGAAATTGCGGGCCACATTTTAAATGTCTGTTTTCTGACGCGTACAAAGCAGATTTTCATATAGAAATTAAGGCCCAAGCTAATAATGTTTTGGTACTAGTTCTCCTTAACTGGTTCGGGTTATGGTTCGGCATATATAAACCAGTTTGAAGTCTATATAAGGGTTATATCATATATACAAATGAAAATGCAGTTTTTTTTAATTTCATTTTAGTTGCTCCGTATAATTATTGGTGTCATTCTCTATAAATTAAATGTGTATATGTTCAGTTTATAAAAACTCTATATGTATTTACATTGTCAGTTCTGATGGGCAGTTACAAATAGACTGAAAAACAATGTACAATAACAATTACAATTAGGTTTCGAACAAAAAAGATAAATATCATGATAATACTTTACACACTGATATAAAAACTGATTCTATATACTGTACAAAAAACTGTCTAGGCATCACAAATAGCAAGTCGGATATTTAAGGTATTTTAATTGAACTAAGCCAAGCAGAGACGAGATGGTTAGCTGCCTATGACCTTATAGGCGCTGGCACTGCCCATCGACTTCTGTATGCCAAAGATGATGCTGCAGGAAAGACAGATATTTATATTTAAGTAATTGATAATAGATTTCAAGTAGACCACTTACGCCATTAGAATGTAGCACAGAAAGAATAGGCCGGCGCTAATGAAGTTGAATGCGCCCGGATAGTAGGCAACCGTCGCCTTGTAAACAGCCGTATAAATCGGCGCAGCGCCGAGTGGTGAAACCATTTCCATTGATGTGGTCAGAGCAAAGATTTTGCCTGTTAATAATAATCATTAGTCATTAGAGTATCATCCTCAATCCGGCTCTGAAAGCTACTCACCCACATCCGTTGCCGGCGCCACATGAGATAGTATGGCACGACACATGGGTCCCAGGACGCCGCGCATCATGCCCAGCGTCATGCCCAAATACATTTCCCACCAATAGTGCGCGGTGGCGCGCACTGTGCTCTCCAGCACACAGGCGGCCAGGGCGAGCAGCGCCATGCTGATGATGGACACCTTGAGCACGCGACGCAGCACAATCATGCCGGCCACGCTGCCAATTATTTGGATAACAATGCGCGCCGCATTGAACTGGCTGATGTCCTTGATGGTCCAGTCGAACTGTTCGCGCATGAACAGCACATTGACCGTGTTCTCGCCCTCCATGTTGAAGATGGTTATGGTCAGCGCCACCATGGTCAGCCAGATAATGGCCCGATCGTAGTTGGCACGCGGCAGGAAGCAGGTGCGCACGAGATCCTTGACCAGACCGAAGCGAAAGAATTCGCGAACACGTGAACCCCGATGCATATCCTCGTCCGGCAAACTCTCCGGAACAAGGAAGTACACATAGAGCAGGCCCAGGAACATAAAGCCGGCGGCAATGCCAAAGAGTGTGACCGCATCCGTCGCCGCATATATGTAACCGCTGGCCACATTGCCGACCATCATGCCGGTGCACAGCGATGCCTCATTCAGCACCATGCTAAAAATATGCCCGATGATTACGAAGCAGTTGCAAGGGTGGGGATTCAACTCACCGCAAAGCGCGCTTGCGCTCCTTGGCCACATCGGAGATGTAGCAATAAATGCCAGTGATTAAAGCGCAAGCGCCGCCGCTTAAAACGGAGGGCACCGAAGGCAGCAGGTACCACCAGGGACTGATGTTCTGGAACGTGGTCACCTCACCGATGGCAATCAATATCGTAGCGCCGGCCACGTAGCCTGGAAGGTTTAAGTAAACATTAATTGAAAATGCACGGATTTGCCATGTTTATTGTCAACGGCAACCTGTGAAGACTGTCAGCAATATGGGACGTCGTCCAAATTTATCCGACCAGGGTCCAATAAAGAGGCTGACGAAGGCGGGTATTATGCTCTCCAGGAGCGATATGGCCATTGTTATGTCCGCCGAATAGCCCTGAACTTTAATTTCTAGCCTCTGCAAGCGTAAACAATTCGTGAATAACAATTATAGGAACAACTGTTTTGACATGCAACTTAAATGATTCATTGCGTTCCATTAGGCACAGCTACGCCGAAATATCCCTTGATCGATAATTTTCCCGATAAGCCCAACAATTAGTCATGCATTCTTAAATGTTTACTTGCCCGTCATTAGCCCCGCACACCTCCCCCCACCCGTTTAAAACTGGGACAATAGCTTTGTGCCAGATTCCAATATGTCTACAGATGTGTCCGAGCCTTATCTCTCGACGCAAACAATAGATCGTCGAATAGTTGCTTTGATTTGATTTCTTGATGATGCTTTGTGGAGGCAATGAAACACTTTGTATGGCTAATCGCCCGCATGAATAAATTGGAGTATCTGGGTATCTGAATGAATAATAAATTCGCATAACTAACGCCCTTTGAGATAAGAAGAAGAGAATATATATTATTATCGGATCGCCGGAAGTTTAACCCATTCGTACAGTAAGACTCCTTTAATTGACGAATTGCCACATATTTGACTGCCTCAAGGAAGATAAGCTAACTGATCAAGAATATATATAATATGTATAGGATTTTTCTCACATTTCGTTCCGAGTGCACGAAATATAATTACGATGCCATGCTTTAGTAAACATGGGCTTATATCGTATCGTATATCGTATACTATATAAGATAATTTATGGTGTTTAATTAAACTTACTTTTGTAGCTTCCGAACCGCGATCGTTGCCCAGCAGCGGCTCGCAGTCGGTTTCATTGTAGTGCATGATCGTCACACAGGTTTGGTACAGAATTTGATTCTGTAGGACCGCCCCTAAAACACATACAGTGAGCTATCAGTATAACGAACTAATGGGTATTGTCATTTAGTTTACGCACCGATCAAGCTGCGGCCCATGAATATGAGAAACACGGCAGGCTCCAGTATGAACCATTTGGCGGCCAGGGCCGAGTCGTTGTGTCCTGCCAGGGCTGGCGCCTCGGCGTCTGCCTCCGAGCGGGCAGCATCAAGTAGGCGTGGCGCAGCCTCCTCATGCTCAACGTCAGCCACGGAATCGTTTACCAGGGGTGAGGTGCTCATTGTATATTATTGCATCAGCGTGCGCTTTTAAATATTTAATTGTTGTCAATATAACAATACAACAGATGTTCGATTTGTTTAGACAAAGGAACTAGCAAATCATGATGCGTTGTTATTAAAACAAAACAATTCAATTCGTTTATCTCACAGTCTCTGCGCGTCGAGCTCAAATCAGCCACTGACACGGTTCGCGCTCTTTAGAATTTGCGACGTTAACGCTTTCGAAGTGTTTATATGTGTGTGTGGGTGTGTGCGTGAGTAATTTAGCGTAACGAAGCTTGTGCCCTGCTGCGTTTACACTTCAGCCAATACTAGTTAATAATATTATGTTCACTTGTGCACATTAACCCATTCAGCGCTTCACAAACTTTCTAAAAAACAAAGCTTTGCATTCGCAGCAACAGCTGTTTTTGTTTACCATGCCATTTTGAGTAAATCGCTGCTGCTTGGCGCGTAATGTGCCGTTTCCACTTGTCGCGTTTTAGCGTGCTTTATTTTGAACCAGTTTTAGTTCATTTTCAACAGAACCCTCCCAACCTTAGTAAAAACAATTTGTTTTTAGAGCTTTACGTTTTTACTTAAAGGTGTGCAAATAATTAAACTAGGCGCAAATTTTAGTAGCGTCTACGTTCGCGCTCATTGCGTGAATCTCTATCCCGATGCTCATAGCGGCTGCTGCGTTCCCGCTCCCGTTCACGTTCACGCTCACCGTTCCTTTCGCGCTCACCGTTCCGTTCTCGCTCACCATTCCGGTCGCGTTCTCTGTCCCCATGTCGTTCACGTTCTCGTTCCCGCTCGCGATCCCTATCTCGTCTGTCGCGTTCTCCGTCCCGCCTGTTCTCATTGCGTCCAGATTGCCGGCGATCGTAGTCGTCGTTGTAGTTGGTGCTGTGGTTCTGTGTGTCCCGGTTGCGCACACGATTGCGCTGGCGGTCATATTCCTCCAGTTCATCGTAGTAGTCCCTGGAGCGTGCATTGCTGCTCGGTGCACCGCGCCTGTCTCTGTCCCGCTCTCGACTGCGCGATTTCGATTTGGAGCGGCCCCGACGGGGACGTCGCACTGAAGTCGTCGAACTGTTCTTCTGGCGAGTGGACTCCTGGTCCTCAGAGTCTTTGGCCTCATCCTCGCTGGGCACCTCGTCATCCAGATCCTCGTCCAGCACCGACACCTTGGGCTCCAGTTCATTATTCTCCTCCAGTATGGAACGCTTCTGTATGCGCGGCAATATAATGTCACACACACGATCATTGCGCAACAGCTCATCTATATACTCGTCCATATAGACGATCTCGAACTGTCCGGCGCGATTTTGTCGACGCAGCTTCCGATTGTCTATGTAGAGGGGTTCGAGATATTTGTAGCAGTCGATGGCCGCGCCGGTGAGGCGCAAATAGAAGGCGCCCAGAGCGCGTACATATTTGAACTCCTCATTCTTGATGAACTCCACAACAATGTCCTTCTCCGGCTGGATTTGCAGCATTTTCAGTGTGAGGCACAGGAACTGGGTCGGCTTGATGTTGCCGCCGTAGACGCCGCCAACGAAACGCAGCTCCATGGCCTTGTCCACCAGCAGTTCAGCGGTAAGTGCAAAGCATTGCTCCTTCCAGTACTTGGAATCATAGATGCGTGAACGTATGATCTTCTCGATGAGATACTGCGGATTGGTGCCGTGCACGTTTTTCGCCTCTTTAACTGTGCGATTTGCCATAATTCGTAATGTGTTTTGTTTTTAATGCATTACAGCGGACAGCCCTGTTCTGCAATTGGCTCCAGGGTTGGCGAATAAAATGGCTTAACAGCAGGGCTGCATGCTGCCTATCGGTTTCAAATCATATGTGCTATTGGCTGCAGGCTTTTTCGATAACACGATGACGCACACTTCACTGTAGACAAAAACAGCAGACGACGTCTGTGGAAGAACGCAATAGGAAAAACTTAATTTAATAGAGAATTAGTGCTGTGTGCGCGTGTAAAAAGCATAAAAACAACAAAAAACAGGATGAGCTTCTTTGGGAAAATGTTTGGTGCCAAAAAGGAGGTGGCCCCAACGACGGGCGAGGCGATACAGAAGCTGCGCGAGACCGAGAACATGTTGATCAAAAAACAGGAATTTCTCGAGTCCAAAATCGAGGAAGAGTTAAATACAGCACGAAAAAATGCATCCAAAAACAAAAGAGGTAAGTGCTCGATACTAACTAAACATCAGGGATTTCCTACACTGCCACAAATCAGAGATTAAACTTATGACTCATTTTCGGTTGCCTTTTGTTTTTGTTTTTGTTGTTGTTGCATTTAAATAAACATATGTATATAACAATTCCATTGCCACGCCAGTGCTAGAATTTAAAGTAAAAAGTATTCTATATATTTCTTCGCCTTTCTTTATGCGCTCCTACATACAAACATCCGCTGGCTGCCATGGACGCACCCCCGACATATACGCATAATTATGCTAACCATAAGAACGTAATATAAACATTTACTCAATTGCAAAACTCATAGATTCGTATTCTCGTATTGGGCAAGAAAGTCTCGTAACAAAATTTGTCATCGCATCTTTGGATTCATTCGTTTGTTTATTTTAGTTGTCTCGCTCCGTTTATTTGTATTTAATTATTTTATGTCTTCGGCAACGTTTTTGCAGTGGCTCTGCAGGCGCTCAAAAAGAAGAAGCGATTGGAGAAGCAGCTGCAACAAATCGATGGCACCCTCTCCACGATCGAGATGCAGCGCGAGGCTCTGGAGAGCGCCAACACGAATACTGCCGTATTGACCACCATGAAGAACGCCGCGGATGCGCTCAAATCCGCGCACCAGAACATGTGAGTATATCGTATCGCATTTCCCAAAACGGGTATGCCTGACTTGCTGTCTCTTTGTTTGATTTGCAGGGATGTGGACAAGGTGCACGATATGATGGATGACATTGCCGAGCAACAGGATGTGGCGCGCGAAATTTCTGATGCCATTTCGAATCCGGTCGCCTTTGGCGCCGATCTCGATGATGAGGATCTCGAGCGGGAACTCGATGAACTGGAGCAGGAGAACTTTGATAAGGAAATTATTGGCATACCAGAGCCAACGCCCACGTTGCCAGAAGCGCCAACCGAAGATTTGCCCGAGAAGGCCAAGGAAAAGAAAAAGGCAACCGTTGCGTCGGCCACCAAGCCAGAGGATGATGGTGAGTGTGCGGGCTCCGTAAATACCCTGTAAACTGTTTAACCTGTTTGTTGTTGTACATTGCAGATGATCCAGTTATGCAGCAATTGTTGTCTTGGGCCAACTAAAAACACGCTATGAAATCTCCCCCTCCTCCCCACACACACCCACACACACATTGTTTTAATTGCCCGATTAACCCAAGTCAGCTCTTTTGTTGTAATTTTGAATATTCTTTATGATTAACTGAAAACAAAAATTTAAGTTGAAAAGCGCGAAATTTCAATTTGCAAATTATCACGAGCAATAATACGCATTATATATATATTTATAAATAATAGGAATGTGATTTTATAAATAATAAAATAGTCAGGCAACAAGCACACAACAATACGCTACCATTACACGTAAATTCAACAAGTTAACTCTGCATTGTATTCATCTAAATATGTTTTATTTTTTTGCAATCGTTTATTGAGAGCGCGTAGAACAACGATATTCGAAAATAAATTCAAATTGAACGCTTTTTTCAAATGCAGTGTTTTGTGCAGTGCTGCCAATTTAGCTGTTTTTGAGAGGCCGTCAGCCGGAACCAGTTTAAGAGTTTAACGTATTTAGTTATGAATTTGTACCCAAGCTACTTCAGCTTGTTTTAGCTATTTCAAATATTGTATTCAGTTGGGAAAACTGGCTTTGTAGCGTGTGAGGCGAAACAAATGTATTTTGTGCAGTGCTGCCAATTTAGCTGCTTTTGAACTGGTTCTGAGATATCTTCAGCCGGAACCGGTTTAAGAGTTTAGCCGATTTAGCTACTTATCGCAGCACGTTAATTTAGCTTGTTTTAGCTGTATTCAGCTACTCATTTTTTAGCTGCAATTGGCAGCACTGACTTTGTTGTGTGCTGTCAATTTAGCTGTTTTCGAGCTGTTGTCAGCCGGAACCAGTTAAAAGGCTTAACGCATTTAGCTATTTATTCCAAATTTGTACCTAGGATAATTAAGCTAGTTTTAGATATTTAAAATATTTAAATTCAGCTACTTTTTTTTAGCTGAAAGAAGACTGATTTGGGCGGCCGGCAGCAGCTCTTTACGCTTGGACTGGTTATCACAAGCGTCGCTTGGCGTCGAGGGGCGGGGGGCGAGGCCCTTAGCTCATGCGCCATGCATATCAATTAATTAGCCGAGGTGGTGGGCCGTATTGTCTTTTTACATTTTGGCTGGGCGGGCGGTACAGGCGGATTGGGATTGGGTAATATGGCATTGATTACGACAAAAGACAAGAGTGGAAATTATATTGCAAATCGCGCTGACAATCCACACACAACGTGGACAACGCAGAGCCGTGGCCGAATTAATTCAAATTCAGTTGAATGCCGTGCGGGAAAGCGTAAGCTGCTCCAGCTCCCAGGCGGAACATCAATTAGCTAAATCGAAGCGAGTGTCATGTGCAAATACGTCTTAATTGCAGTCGCCCTAATGGTAAGTGGCAATTAGCTCGACGCACTGCGTCCACACCAAGCACCACATTAACATTGGCCTTGTCTTTGGATACAGTGCGTGCTGCAGCTGGGCATGGTGCAGGCCACCTTCGACTTCTCGAACGTGGATCTGGTCAATTTCGAGTACTTCAAGAATCTGGACTCGCCGGAGGCGCATCCGCTGCTGGTGCACTTCCAGAAGAAGAAGGCCGTCCTGGACTATATTGAGCGCCTCTTTCTGGGCAATTCACCCTTCCAGCAGCCCAGCGAAATACCCTTCGATCCGCACTTCGGACGCGCCTGGCGCCCCACGTACGAGCGCAAATTCGGACGACGCGGCGAGCGGCTGATCGCGGCGCTCGGCTCCGGCTACTCGCTGCGCCAGCTGCGCCACTTTGGCGCCATACCCAGGGAATACGGCACGAGCTGAGCTGAGCTTTGACAAACGAGATGTGATTGTTGTATTTATGTAATAAATCTAAGTTAATTAGTTTTACACGCGACGCTTCTGTGTGGATATGTAGAGCACATTGTTGCCGCGGATGAAGGCGTCGCCGTATTTGTTCTTCAGCTGCCCGTTGACGTACTCCTCGGTCTGGTCCAGTGCGATGTTCATGTAGCCATCCAAGCAGGCCAAAACGCCTATAAACATTAATTATTAATCAAGAAATATGTTTTTCCAGCTGCCGGCAAACAATTTGGGTTGCCCACCTCTGTAGTCCACGCCGTTGTTTAGCTTTACGGCCACGGGTCGGCCGTGTATTTGATTAATGAACTGTGACAGTGCCTCCTTGCGTGACATTTTATCTATATTTACAAACAATTAATACGTCCTTTTAATTCAAGTTAATAATATTTAAGAAATGCCTTCTCTTTGTCGCTGGCTTTGGAAATGTGCCATTCACAGCTCAACTGTGCCATTCGCCTATTTAAGCAACACGGCAAAGCAGCGCCGTCTGGTTTTCAATGCTGCCACTTTGGCGCGCACATTGTTTCATTTTGAAATGCGTTTAAGGCAGTGCATCGCCATCTAGTTTTCAATGCATCCACTTTGGCGCGCACATTGTTTCATTTTGAAATGCGTTTAAAGCAGTGCATCGCCATCTAGTTTTCAATGCTCGCACCTTGGCGCGCACATTGTTTCATTTTGAAATGCGTTTAAAGCAACACGGCAAAGCATCGCCATCTAGTTTTCAATGCTGCCACTTTGGCGCGCAAATTGTTTTATTTTAAAATGCGTTTAGTTTAGGTTTTTATAAATTAATTAGTACAATTCATTAAGAATTAAAACAAATAGTTGTTAATGTATATTTAAAGCTGCTTAATGTATGCCCTCCAGAGGTGTATAGGTTTTGTATTGGTATAAATCCGGTCCGCCATAGCCATACAGCAATTTTCCCCTGCCATTCTCATCATAGTACGGATAACGATATTTGGGCCTATTTCAAAGAATTTGTTTATAAATAAGATTTTCATTAGTGTTGAGTGCCATTGCTTACCGTTCAAAGTACTGGAAGTTGGGCGCACGCGGCTGCACCGTAGCGTAGGATGTGTGCGCGACAAATGCAACAATTAGTAAAATGAGCTGAAAAGGCAAGATAATCAGTTTTTGTTTTGCAATTATTGTTAAGTAAAGCCGGCTCATTAGTTCAGTGTGTCAGGCACATAAAAGCTGTAATAAATGCACATGTAATTTGGCCCAACTTTTGCATGAGTTAAAAACGGTTATTGGCCACGATTATGCAATGCAAAGCGACAACAGCAACAACAAGTGGCCAACCTGAGCGCAGCTTTGAGATTATGACACATTTTGTAAGCTCTTCAATTGGTCAACCTACAAGAAAGAGAGAGAGAGAGCGAAAGAGAGCGGAAAAGCCGCAACGATCGTTTGCAGAATTGGGCAATGGGCACATTTCAAGGTCTTTCTCTCTCTCTCTCTCGCTCTCTCTCGCTGGCGAGGGTCGTGCGCTGATTACAAATCACATTGGCGCGACATCAATTCAAAATGTGTCGCTGCGCTGACCAATGAGTGCAAAGCAACAACAACATCAATGCTCATTGTGAATTCCAGCCACATTTTCGTGCAGGCACTTTTCTTTTTGGTGCGACTTTCGCGCAGGCGGCACACGGAAATTGTGTCAGAGCGCGACTATTGCTTTGGCCATGTTAATTGATGGGGTCAACAACAGCGACAAGTGAAATGCACGACGCGCGCTCTCTCAAGACTTACTGGCAGCAGCAGTGTATTTAAATTTGCCATCGCCACAAATTTTGTGAATATCCAAAACAACTGATTGGCTGGGCACGTTTTTCACGCTAACGGTAATTTGTTGCCGCAACGCGCAAACCTGTGTTGTTAACCGCGCGCGTTTTGTTTGGTAACTGAACTCCAGTCTGAAGCCAGCGAGTGTTGCAGAGCGTCCGCTCGAAAGCTTAAAAGCTGCGCGCCAATAAAAGCTCAACCAAAGTCTGCTTGAAATCTTCTTCTGATCTAATACGTGCGCTCTTAACAGCGCTCAATGAAAGTGAAAGTTCTGACACTGTTAAATAACACGGGCTTAAGCAGCTGTTAAGGCGCTTCCTTGAAGGCAGCAACAACAGACGGAAGTTTAATAAAAGCTTTTGACTGCATTTCTAGCGGCAAGCGCAACTAATAGCTCAATTCGCTGACGTGAAGCCAGGCACGTAGCTTTTGCGAGAGAGCCAGAGCGAGAGCGAGGGAGAGAGAGTCTGGGAGAGCGGCGTCGCACAGCTGTTAAAGTGCAGTGCAAAAAGCTGTAACGGAATTGAGGCCAAATTACTAAAGTGTTGTCTTTGGCTCTTTCTGGTTTGCTGTCTCTGCATGATGATCTTGATGATGATGATGATGATGATGATGACGAAGCCATTATGTAACTTCTGCAATGATAATGCGTTCAACCAGTTTGTGTCTTGTCTTTCTTTGTATCTTGTGCTATTTTTTGTTTGTTTGTTTTTAGTTTCTTTCCTCTATGGAAGTCTGGCGCACTTTCTTTGACAGCAACGCGTATTCATACTGTCTTTTATTTGTTTTTCTTTTAAGCCAGGTGCCACTAACCTTTGGCCACAATTTAGTTCCGTCTGCCGTAAACACAAATTTGGTCTGCCATTAAAATGTGCCATTAAAAAGGCACATAAATGCGCGACAATAATTGCTGTAGAGTACTTAAAGTTTTAAACTGAAGGTCGCGCTCAAAGCCAGGGTTCAATGCAGCTCCAATTATGCGGACTTATCTAATTTGTTATATTGTCTTTGCATTCATAAATTGGGCCATAGATAAACAAAGCTTAAATATGCTTTTCTTACCAAACTCAATTTGTTGTTGTTGTTGCTTTTGTTGTGCTTTATTGAATATTTATTTAAGCGCGCTCTCGCTCTCACTCTTGCGTTGTCGCTCTCAGTACTTAACTGTTAGTTAACAGTGTTGCCAGCTGTAGCTAAGAGCTATGTTAAAAATAGCTAGAAATAGCTGAATTAGCTTGCAGGCATATGGTAACATGGCATTTTCAGCCGAAAACTAAACATGGGCAATTAGTAACTTAACATAATATCACTTAACATAACATAACTTAACATAGTCAAATCTGTTAAGAGCATCAATTTTGAAGCAGCACAATTTAGCCAGAAAGTAGCCAAGCTGGCAACCCTGTCTGCCATCCGCATAACGGTGCAACTTCTCGGCGTTTGTTTTGTTTGCCAAACAAGATGTACGAGTATTTCGTTTCGTATCTTTTTCGATATTTCTTCTTTATTTCTTGTTATTCGTGCGATATTTGCGTTGGCGCTTGGCTGCGTTTTATGCAACTGCGCGATTTCTCGGCTTCGGTTTCGGCTTCGGTTTCGGTTTCGGTTTTAGTGATCAATGGTCCAGTGACTCGCACGGGCCGCGCTTCAAGAAATCAAAAATAAACCAAATAAACGCCAAAAGCCACAGAAAATGTTGCAAATGAGATTTTTGTTTGTGTTTTCGTTTGCGGTAAGTGAGAGAGCCGAAATTAATGTGTAAGACAAGTCGCATTTGTGCAAAATATTCAAGCCATGACTCAAGCCCTTGAAAACGAAAGTTAACGCTAGACTGGGATAAATAATGTGGCGCGATATTCAAAAAAAAGTTTCAAGTGCCTTGAGTAGTGTTTACTGGACTTAGCAGGTCATAAAAAATGAAAACAGTCACACCTCGATTAACCTTTTTCAAGTGCAGTAACAGAGTTCGAAGAAGACTTTGTTTTTAAGCCTCGAACTTAAAGCAAATGGGCAACACTGAAATTTTAAGCGTAGCTTCTTCTATTTATCGCGCAGATTAGTTTTGATTCCAGTTATCGATAACTTGCGCCGCTTCGATGATATCGATAAGAATTGATATCGAAATACAGTTTGATTTGATTTAAAGCTCAAATCATGCATCAATCCATTCAATCAGCTTTGATTGATGTGGGATTAGAAAGAGCATACTCTTTCTCTTGATACTCCTTATACTAATACTCTTTCGCTTGCAGTGCACCCTGCTGCTGTTGTACAGCCAGCCGGCTGATGGATTCATTCTGCGTCTCATCAGCGAGACGCTGCAGAACAATGTCGCCGGCGAGCCCATAACCCACGTGCGCACCGATTGGAACTTTGACCCGGAGGCGGCCAAAAAGGCGCGTTCCATTTACTACGAGGTGCGAGTCGCTACACCAGCCATGTAGAGTATCTAATGGAATGTTGTTTTGTTTTTTTTTTCTAGAAAAATGGATATCGCTCTGCGAAATTTATCGAGCGCATAGGCGTAGGCCTGGATGGACGGCACGAGGAGCGGCGGCAGGCGCAGGAGGAGCGCGACTTGGGACGCTTGAATGGCGAGCACTTTATCAACTATCCGGCTGAGATAGCTTAGCTCATAAATTACCAGTTAATTATGCATAAAAGGGCGTAGAGGGGCGAGACAGAAAGAGAGAGAGAGAGAGAGAGAGGAGGGGTAGCATAAATCTTTGTGGCATATCTGGCGCATTGTCATCAGTTTAATTTGCAGCGATTAATTGTCATTAATGTGCTTCACAAGGATTTGCATAATTTGCCAACGTAACACATATGCAACATGCCACATGCCATATGCCGCATGCAACATTCAGCCATGCCTGGCATATTGTTAATGGCCCTCAAGCGGGCTGGGGCTGGGGTGTTGTTATGGTTTTAATAAACGTTATTAGCGACTGCAACTGCAACTGCAACAAATTGCGGCAATTACATTTGGCCAAAGCGAAAGCATCTGCAGCTGCAGCTGCAACTGAGGCATCAGCAAAAGCATCAGCAAAAGCAGCTACTTACTTTCATAATTTCATAATGCGGCGCATAATTGAAGCCAATTTCGCAGCCAGGCTCCAGCTGAGCGAACAATCGGAACAATGCGCGCGAGACGAGGATAACAAATTGCCCAGCGCCAATAAGTAGGCTACAATGAATTGCGAAACAACTGCAGCGGCATTCTGGCAATGGAAATCGCGGTCGGAATTGAGGAGAAAACGTTGGGATTCAATTGTTAAGCAAGTATATTTATTTTATTATTATTATTATATTTTTTATTATCATTATTTTTATTTTTACTAATATTTTGAATGCAGAGTAGCAAAGATTTTGTCTCCATTCAATTTTCATTTCTTGAGGCGGTTGCCCAAAAAAGTTTCTTCTAATAAGGAATTAGATTAGATTCTTCTGCCATTGACCTAACCCAAAGCTATTCAGCTCTAAGTTCATGAGTTCCCCAAAGGAAATTAATATCCGAATTGCGTCTAAAATTATGCAATTAAATAGTTTTTACGACCTTACGTTCGTGTTATTTGGCATTTTACTGGAACAATTTGAATGCAACTTGCATAAATACTTACAAAACTTAGTATTATAAAATTACATTATAATTATGTTATTATCATAAAATTGAAGAAAGAGGCCTATTTAAATTTGTGTGTTTTGCAGTTGAAATCGAAAATGGGAACGCCCTAAAATACTGCAATTTAAATGAATAAATACTAACGCAACTTTTTCGACAGATAAATCTAAGAAATGCGGTATACAATTAAAAGTTAAAACATAAATTTACTGAAATTTCAATAATGTGTGTTGTGCAGCTGATATCGAAAACGGGAACGACCCAAATGAGTGGCTACTTCTGATGAGCCCAACTCGATGTCAACGGAAATGAACTGTGTCGTGCATGCTGCCAAACTGCAGCAGATAAATCAAATTACGCGCTGGTTTTTCCGAGGGGGTGTGGTCGCGAGTGGGCGGAAATGCATAACGGAAATTACATAACAAGTGCGCGAATGGGTGCGAAATGAGGCGCGAGCCCATGCGGCGTATGCGTAATGCAGCGAGCCGCAACGATAACACCATAAAATTGTTTAATAAATTGTTAATGCCGCATTGTAAATAATGCGTCCGATAAGGGCCCGACCGTGGGAATTGCAACAGTTGCGGCCACATTTTGATGACACTAATTTAATACGAAATCAAACAGATAAGAAAAACCTTTTCCCTTTTTTTTTTTTTGTTCTCCTCTCGTATTATTAAAGCCAAATATGTGTAATACAATCATAATATGATATTGGCCCGCGGCACTGAGCCGGAGCCTGATCATTAGCCTTATCGACAGCCACATCAAATGAAATGTTTAATCACGAAAAAAAAGGCAGAGAGTATATATAGAGAAGTTGGCCCTATCGCAGCTGAGGCTTATCACCTGCCTCAATCAATTGTCCCGTTGTTGGGTATTAACTTTCATTTTGCGTCGATTCATTCTGACATCAATTGCTGTGAAAGCGGATTATTTGTCATAAAAAAATAACACACACACAACAAATTGATACAACAAATTTATATAAATGTTGTGTGCTCCACAAGGAGGTGGGGGAGTGGGCTAGGGGGCTGCATTGATTGGTGGGGGGGACCTTTTTTTTGGGTGCATTAATGCTCTCATATCATTAGCCTGTTATTTGAATTGGTTTCGTTTTAATGCATTGATTTATAAAATACACAAAATAAACATACAGTGAACACCCCAATTGTGGAACATTCTATGGGACTAGAATTTTATTGTAGAGATAAACTTTTCGAGACTCGAAATTTGAGATTTTTAACTTACAGTAAAACTTGCATTTAAGGAACATTCTATTTGACTAATTTCAATCAATATCTGTGAACGTACAGTGAATGCTCCCAATATGCAACTGCATTTTGCAGCAAGAAATATCCCTAGAAGGCATAAGCATACTGTAAAAACTCCACTTATGCAACGTTCTATAGGACTCTATTTCTTATACAACTTTAATTTGTATAAGAATTATCCCTAGAACGCACAAACAAACTTTTCTAATGGTAGACGCAAGAACTCTGGAACAAATTCGAGATTTATTGCAACCAAAATTGAAAAGTTTGTTGTTTTTTTTTTTTCTTATAAAAACTATATAAAAAGAAGTCTTAATTAATTGTTTCCTTATTTTCTGAATATTTCTTCAATATATATCTTCTAAGCGAACTTCATTATCTGTAGAGAGTTCGCTCTAGCGGCTATTCACTGTACATGAGCCTCGCTTAGAATAAGCGCATAGTCGCATTTCTAATATGCCTATTGCGCCATTCTAATAATATGGCATCTCGAATCGAAATATTGGCTAGACATCGCATTAGCTCACGCCCATTCAAATCGCATACAAAACGCCCCAAGCCATTGTCCAGTTAGAGGGGTGGGAGGGGTTGGTGGCATGGGTGTATTATGCAAGTGCCTATTAAAAGCATTCTTGGCGATGGATAGGGGCAGGAGGGGGGTCAGATGGGTGCACTGCAGCTGCGTGGTCCAAAGTTGAATTTCTTAATGCATTTCCGTGGCGCAATTGAAGTCAAACTCAAGCGAAGGACGAAGGACTCACTGCAGGCGACTGCTAATGTACAGCAGCAGCAGCTAAACATAATAAAATATCGACTGTAACCGACTGTGCAATACTCTACCAGGCAGCAGCTGTTTAACAGTTGGAGAAGCGACTGCTCTAAAACTGTAAGAGATGCTCAAACTGTGACGTGCCTGTACATAACGAATATATTCCACATATCAAGTCTTTAAAAGCATAACGTTTATATAAATGAATATAGCCCGCCTTTTACATTCCCTAGAGAGTATCAAAACTGTACTGTATGCAAGTGAAGGCAAAAATCAACGTTTCGCTTTTTATGTTGTGCATTAGCCTGCGCACAAAATGTAATTTATAAAATGTAATATAATATCAACAGCATGCACACATACACACACTCACTCACTCCCACTCCGCTCTCTCTCTCTCTCTCTCTCTCTCTCTCTCTCTCTCGCACTCACAAGTAGAGTGGCGCACAGTCTGGGGCAAAAAAGCCCACAAACAATGCCATAAACACAGCCATAATGTCAACTGGCTTTTGTCCTTGTGACTGAAGCCGGCGACCTGCTGCTGCTGCTGCTGCCCCCTTCGCCCGCTGATTCGACCACAGCCCGCTGCCTGCTGCTGTTGCTACTCCTCCTCTTTCTGCGCTCTTTCTTTGTGCTGCCAACTGCTTTAGCTTTAACTAATGTAAGAGATGTAAGAGAGCCAAAAATAGCTAAAATAGCTTGCTCAGCTTGCGATTGAGCGGCCAGCAAACAGCTGAAACAGCTTGAAATTGCAAATATTTTCGGCTCATTGTCAAATTTAGCTAGCCAGCACTGTTGCGCTTCTCTCTCTTGGCTCTTCATCTCCCCCTGCTTGAGCTTCTCTGCTGGCTGCATTTATTTTATTTCATTAAGATAAGCAAAACTTGCCGCTCTCTCCCTCTCGCTCTGGCTCGCAGCGGGCGCATACCCTTGTGCCGTTTTTTTTGTTATGTGCTTTTTGTTGTTGTTTTTTTTTTTTATTTGAGCATAATTACAATTCTTGCAGTCCAATTTTAATTCTATCATTGCGCCCGCATCTGCCACTGACAGTCATTTAGTTGCTGTTGTTGTTCTGCTTTTTCTGCTTCTGCTTCTGCTTCTGCTCTTTTTTTTGCATTGTTTCGCCCAAGTAATTTGTATTCAAGCAATTAGATTTCACTCACAGAGTCATATTACGTAAATAAATATAAATATATGCATACAGGTCCTTGGATGTCACATTTAGCTGCATGTTAGCTGCTCAATGGCAACATTGGTTCCGTTTTGGTCCTTCCGAGTAGCCTAGTACCAAAAGGCAAATATGCCAGCGTCCTCGACTAATGCATTGCGCAAACTTTGTCGCAGCCAGTTGACTGTTATACCCTGTTTCCTAAGCGAAAGAGGTATATTGGCTTTGCTGGTCGGTAAATTTCACAGTTTCAAAGTCTTTCCTTCAAGGTTTGACAGTCACTTTATCCATAATCAAGTAGATCCAGCCATTTGCTGCGAACAGAGTATTGCGCAGTCGGTTACAGCCGTCACTTGTTTTTATTGTTGATTTCTTGGCTTTGTTAAGCGTATTAGCCATTATGCATGCCATATAGAATATAACATAAAAGGCTTAAACCTCAGCAGGAGGCGGGGCTTCTTCTTTAAGCACATTCATCGATTGATTTAAGGCCATTGCCTGGGCGTAAGTTAAGAAATGCTGGGTACAGTTGGGTTGGGAGTAGCTCGATTTTTTCTCTCTTTTAAAGTGAAGTGTTGAATAATGCTTAAATTTCTGCTTTGCTTTCGAATATCCTAATTTACCCAAATTTTGATTTAAGCAAAAGTCATAAAAGTCTTACTTGAAAAAAGAGTTAATTACTTAAATTGATTAAACTCTCGCTTCCGAGCGAATCGCTTTAATTTTTCTCTCAGCGTACCGCATAAACAAAAATTTTCCTGAAACATTCGAACATTTTATTAGCATGTTCATCATTTGTGTCTCGTCTGGGCGTTGGTTGCCCCACCCCCCTGCAAATAAGGACATTTGATAGCTGGCATATCGGCTGCAAATTATAGTCATCATTTGTGAAGTCCTTGCAACATTTCCGACCCCGCACTTTACCTTTTTGTTGCACTCGAATTCACTTGATTACAAAGTAATTTATTGGAAAAACAGGCGACCAAGCAGAGCAGCAACAACAACAATAACAACAACAACAAAAACTTGCTGAGATTTGTCTGCTCCTTCTGTGCCCGCCCCTCCGCCCCTCCGCCCACCCGTTCCCGTTTATCCACTGTGCATACGAAATGCGGCAAATC